TGAGTGCTCATATGCGCGAGAGATACCTGCAAGAGTTTGCGCGACTGCTTAACTTAGAACTTTTGCCACAATTGCAAGGTTTGCTGACGTAAAATGGCTGCATCTTACTTATCAGGTATGTAAAGAACTCACATATTGGAAGAACCCCTCCAGAGAATTGATAAGTTGGAGAAAGGTTAGAGAATGATATATGTACTAGACATTACAAAACAAAATGAGTCTAAGGGTGCATATCTCTTCACACAATACAACTTGTTATCATTTATGTGGCTCGCTTACCTGTTCCGTTGCTCGCTGCGAAGATCAACACATGTGTCAACATCTGGTACCGAACTTATCAACAGTGATCTTGTATCTCTCAAGGCACCAGTTCATACGAAGAGATCAATGCTGATTGTCTGTTGGGATTCTCAAACTTGTTGTATATTCAGTCTAATGTTTCTGAAGGGACATTTTGGAAGCGTTTTAATGATTAAAAAACCTCACCAGGAGAAACTTATAATCTTTATTTTTAAATTATGTAGATTTCTGGAAGTTTCTGATGTTACTGTCACTCAAAATAACGTCTATATCTTTGGAACTCCTTGGTTTGTCATTCAAATGTTTTATTACTTGTACATTGCACTCTCTACCACAAATATGGTTGAAAGTCTGGTCTTACTTTAATATTAACAGGCGTATGGACATTTCGAGATTACTCCCTGAACATTCAGGATGGGTTTTGCAAAACCTTGCTACTAAGTTCCACTTTATGACCTTTGATTTCAAGATTAAAGGTGTTCCCATTATTCTTTTTTCGTAGCTTATTACGCTAATGGAGCTTTCCCTCATGCACATTCTTATCGAAACACATACATGTAGGATCTTATTCTGTGAATTTTTGGGTTCTTCAGGAGTTGGCTATCAACCCTGGCTCAAAGAAAATCCAGAATCAACCCTCATAAAGTACAATATGAGGGATGAGCAGTCGTGGCAGCCTTATGTAAAACAGGTATTGCTAATTAGGGAGAGAACATATGCTGCTGTACTTCACTTATCCACTGACTTTTTAGCTGAACGAATACTTGAAGAAGTACGAAGACATCAATGGCACGAGGGAATGCGGCCCAGGCGATAACAATAGTGATCTCGTCAATGATGGTGTTTTGGTAGGCAGTTCGACTGCCTAAGCATTACATTTCTCTCGATCTTAGTTGAACCGTTTTAGCCTTGCCGTTTCGACCTTACAAACTTCACAGCAGCCGGATGTGGTCCCGACAAACAGTACGGCTACGGAAGAGCTGGCAGTGTGAGTGCACTACACCATGTCCGCCATTCTTGAACGGGGATATGCTCGCTCTTAGCCCTAGCCTCGCATCATTAGGCTTCTTTTATGCTTCTGGCTCTGAATCGATAATTTTCGCGATTGCTGCACACATATTTGTGCATTGCAAGAGAAGCATCCCCTGAGCGGATATATGTGTCTATCCGTGAGGTCATGAAATTTTCAGCCATGTGTTGTGCTGTCATTGAATCGTCTTATTGGATGGCAGCCAGTGGACTATGCACCCGATTCCGTGCCGGAAAATGTTAAAGGGCGCTACAAGAGCGGATCAATCGCCATGTTTTGCGATGGAGCTGTGAGTGTCATCCGTTGCAGAAATTACATTCGTTTCATCTTTCCTACATTGGTAAGTTCTCTTTCAGAATGATCCGGACAAAGAACATATCGGTCGTCTGAAGTACATTCCGGAACATGGGATAGACGGAAGGTATTATCCGTATGTGTACGTGCCGAATTATCACCAGCCAATTGTGAGTCATTCTTCTTGTTTTTCCGAGCCATTTTGGTACTAATTCAGTCGACCGGCTACGCACATGACATTGTTACACCAGATTTCCTGAGTTTTTACTGTCTATTTTGAGAATTGTTCACCGTACTTTAAGTTGTTCTGAAATGGGCAAATTTGTTTCTGTGCTACTAGGTCATCCAGCGCACTGTACATGAAATCGTGTCATACTCTAAATCAGTAGTGAATATAGGAGCTTGCCTTTCAATCTGTGAAGAACTGACAAGGGTTCACACTAGTAAACATGATGTTAAGTGTCTGTTCATCTCGTTTATGTATAATTTGCGGTTTCAATTGAATAATCGCGAATTGATTTTCCCTTCTGCAGACTTAGGGCGAACCTTTGGATACCTCTTTCAGCTGCATAGTTCGAGGTTGAGCCATACCAGCTAGTGCTTTTTTTTATTCATAAAAAGGGGCGGTTTTAATTGCTTACACGATGCTTGATCTCTGCGCTTTTCCTCCATAAATTAGTTGCGTTGGGGTTTGGTACAGCAGAAAGTGAAAAAGAAGTTCGAGTCTCTCTTGCGATAAAAACAGGAGAGTTTTCTCCCAAGAACCTGGGCATACGCCTGAGGAATGCTTTTCATGCCGAATGTGATGGAAAATGCTAGTAGTAAGCGCTACCGTTTTAGCTTTATGAATTTTATATAGTCAAAATGGACGCTACGAACGTCGAAAATATTAGCCGCAAGAAGTTTGTTTTGTTATTAGTTGAAAGACAGAAATGTCTATCTTCTTTGTAGGCAATGGTGAAGTTTGAATCGCTGCCACGTAACAAGCTCGTTTTGGTGGAATGTCGTGCGTATGCATTGAACATTGAGCACGACATCACGTCGCGACTCGGACTCGTCCATTTCGAGTTGTTTCTCGAGGATAAAGTAGTCGAAACGAAACCGTCTTCATTGTGATCCTGAGCGAGAGCAGTTCAAAATAAGACGTGTACACCGGTTCACGTTCTTTCCGTTCGTCTCTTTCGTGTGATCCCTCTCCTGTTGTCCTCCAGATTAACCTTCCACTCATATTAGTACTGTTCACTCAGCTCCATTATTCTAGCAGTCTATTCGACATTTTTCCATTTTTTTCGATATCATACACCATTTTATGTTACGTTGTTGTATTTCACGTCTCTGCCCTGCTGATCACTCATATTCGTATTTCGTGTCAGCTTCGATTCGGCCTAGAAGCCAGTAGATGTAGATTTCAGAAAAGTTCAGAAATGACTCAGAGATGATGGCGTTTTATATAGTCCCGGTCCACCTATGTCTTCCCTGTTGTTGTTTACAAACGTCACCAGTTTCTTCAACCTCATCGCTTCACGTGGGGTCTGCGTTCTTCCGCTCCCCTTTATGCTCACTTGTTAGTAGTTTTATTTG